ACGAGCAAGAGCAGCACATGGACACACAGCCCCTCGTCACGAGGAGGAGCCCGGTGCACCTCCGCATCACAGCTAACCCACTTCCACGGGGCTGCAGCTCTGCCTGCCTGCCGGGCTCTGCTTCTTCCTTCACTTTTGCATGTCGTACTGAAGCATTCTGCACAGCGATGTGAAAAACTCCCTTACAAGGAGCTGTGTCAATACTAGGAGATCTGCTCTCCGGGTCGATGACATGGATGTGAGAGACGGGCTAAGGTCAGGCACTGTAACGAGACCATGGCCAGCGTTTTGCTGGGGGTGGTTTTCACCTCCCCAAAGCCGGTGCCTGACCACAGCCCAAGTTCTTCATCAGATGATGCTAACGGTGCTCGGGCTACAACCCGGTAAAACCACTGACATCTCATCAGGAGAACAACTTGAGTAAAAAAAAAGTGAGAATAAAACCACAAGAAAGTTCAACACTGACCAGAATCCAACGGAAATGTTACCGTAAATCACAGGGAAAAGAGGAAGGAGAAGGCACCAAGTCAAGATGGGATCTGGCTTTATTTACTTAAAGGCACAAGTCCAAGACTAGAGACTTCAATTAAACAAATTTAATAAGCAAGCTCTATTTAATGGAATAAAAGAAAGAAACAGGCTGTTAACACGAAGCCAGTTTAGCGCATGCATTTGTACACACAGGCCAGGAGATAGGCCAAGAGGACAGCAGGTAACAAGCAGCTCCAACACAAGCAGAATTTATGGAGACAGGGAATCCCCATCCAGAAGAGCTGCTGGAAGACAGATTTCTAATAAAAGCTCATTTTCCTTCACTGGGGTACAGTCAGGGTGCCCCGTTACCCCCTTGCTGTGTATTTGCACAAAACCCTGCAGGAATTGCTGCTTTTGAGAACCACCACACCTGGTTTGAAGTTGGCCAGGGCAGGTCATACATTAGGAGATGCACAGCCTACATTTCAGCTTCCTGGGAAAACTGAGACTAAGGAACACCAAGAGGGACTCAAATCTTCTAGGAGAGAAGGGGAAGAAAGTCTCTGTTCACCAAATTTATATGGCAAGAGTTGCAACAAAACCCACCTCCCACACGAAAGGTGTTCTTTCCCTATGGCTGGTGAGCCACACAAACCAAGGACACTGACAGAGACACTCGTAGTCCGCGTGGGGAAGCTCCGGCTCTGCCCCGATCCTGCCCTTGAACCGCACCACGCAAGATGCTAGGGGAAGGAAGAGCTTCCACTGCCACCTTGTTAGGTTCACGGAGCAATAGATCAGTTCTGTAATTAAGTGTGCTGTGGGACCTGCCACCAGGCTCCAATTACCAGCTAAGGACCCAGCTCATCGTATTTATCTCTTGGTTTACCTAAGTAGTGCTTTAAACCAAGTTTTGCAAGTTCACAGCAGCCCACTTTTGCAAAAATCAGTGTTTTTTTTCAACATTTTATGCACTTACAAACCTACAAAATTTTCGTTAATTCAATTTTAAAAATCCATTAATATACAGAGACAGCCGTATCTTCAACTCCTCAGAAGCAGCCAGGAGGAGCTGGGTTTGCAGCAGGGGCCCCTCTGCCCAAGCCTTTGCCCCCGGGGCTTCCGTGGCACTAATGACTGCAGCAAGTCCTTAGCGGGAGCTCTGACCTGGCATTTTCAAACTTGCACAGGTTTTCTTAAGAGACCAATTGCTTTCCACCAATGTTATAAATTAAACAGGTGTAAAAACACTTGTTATTTATTTTTTTTTTACTAAGCATAACAAAAAGTGACTGTTTCAGCTTCAGAAAATCCTTGGGATACCTATAAAAATAGAGCAAAGGAGCCTACTTGTTACCTCAAATAAAAATGAACGTATATAAGGTGCATGCAGATTTATGGTGCCTAATGGGACTGCAGCTGGATCAGCTGCCTCGGTGAATTAACCGTTCTCGTTACACACACTATTTTCTCGCAGAAAGGCATTGTAACACTGAGAGTCAAGGATCTTTCCACAACCCAGGGGAGCAGAAGCCCTCAGGAAAAGCCCAGCTGCGAAAGCATTCCCTGCTCCAGGGAAGCTCCCGTTGGAAAACCTTACCTGGGACCCTAGGCAAGGGTCAAAATCATGTTTTACCTCAAACTGGATAATCACCTTAAAGCATCTAAAGCTTCTGTCCAACCAGAGGAAGAGCTGGGCAGCGCTCATGGGATTCCTGGTGGGAATTTACACCCCTCTCTAGGCAAGGGGTCTCGGAGGGTCACGCGAAAGATCCCGCGTGGGCCTCGCGTGGGCTCAGCCGCCCCCGAGGCCACCAAAGAACCCGCGTCTCTGCGAGGGCGGCTGAGCGGGGAGCGGCCCCGCGGGGAGCCCCGGGCGCGGGGCGGCCCGTGCCCCGTGCGCCTCGCGGGGGCCGCTCAAAACACGCGCGACAGAGCGGAAAAACCGCGGGCCAGGGCACTACCCACGCGGGGACGCCACGGAGCGCCCCTTCACCCGAACACGAGCAAACCGCAGGGAGCTGCCGCAGGGGATGGCGCCGGGCCCGGAGCGGGAAGGAGCGAGGCTGCGGGAGAGGAGGCGCCTGGCGCGGGCCGCGCGCAGGCCCCGCCGCGCGGCGCGGCGCGGTGCGGCGCGGGCGGCCGCGCACAAAGCGGCGCGCGGAGCGGCACTCACCTTGGCGTCGCCGTTGCACAGGGCCATGGGGGCGGCCGCGGGGCCGCTCCCCGGGGCGGCGGCGCGCGAACGGAACGGAACGGAAGGGAACGGAACGGAAGGGAAGGGAAGGGGCGGCGCGGGAGCCGCGATGCGCGAGCGCGGCCCGTGGCGCCGCCGCCGCCGGCAGGGGAGGGCAGGGGCGGAGCGCGCGCGCGCCCGCCCGCGGAAGGGGCGGAGCGCCGCGCGGACAGGCCCCGCCCCCTCGGCCCGGCCACGCCCATCGGCCCGGCCACGCCCCCCTCCTAGCGTTCCCCCGCGCTGCGCCTTCCCCCCGGAAAATAAATAAAAAAATAATTCTTTTTCAAAAGGACCTTTCTTTTTGTGGTAACCTGCGGAATTAGCTGCCTTGCTGTGCACACGCTCCCGCTAGGGACGTGCTTGTGCCTGGCTTAGGTGTCAAAGCGTCAACTCAAGGGATGCTCGCGCTCTGCTTGCATCTGCACCCGTCATTGGCGCCGGGGAACTCGATGGACTTAACGGTAGCCAAGAGGAAACGTGACGTTCTCTGCAGGGTTTGCACCCAAGATAACGGGCTCCATTACATACCGATCTTTTAAAGGCTCCTAGATTAATACTGTATGCAAGTCCCTGCAGGGTCCAGTCCCTATGCATCCGGACAACCCAACGGAGCACGTGTCAGTGCCGAGGTTTCTGCCTGTTTACTCCCTTGTGCCCTGCACCGGGATGATGTTATGCTGTGCAAGGCGGGATGAGCACACACCTGCAGTAGGTTTCAGGAAACACGGGGCCCGCTTGGGCCGCCCCACATGCTCCCCCGTGGCTCCTGCTCGTGAGCAACACGGCTCCCAAGCTCTGCACCGCAACAGCTTCGTTGGGCCCTCTGACTCCCCGCATCCCTTCGGTGGTGGCACGGGCACTTTATTTGTAAATGAATAGCACACTGTTTATTCGTAAAAGAGCGCTAGGTAAAAATAGCATTAACTTCATAGTCTGGCACAACATGTAATCTTATATGCCTATGTTATCTGAATGCTTTGCATTACCTAAATACAGCTATCAGTTTGTATACACTTAGAATTACCTACACGCTGATTATGGAATTGATGCCTGAGAAGGAAAGGTCAACATTACTCAGTGCTCCAAACAAACCATAAGGTCAAGTAATGTCAGTAAGTTCCAGCAAATGCATCTACTATCTCTCTCAGACGCCACGGTCTTAAAGACAGGATGGGAATTCAGGTTTTGCGGTGGGAATTCAGGTTTTGCGCTCGCCTTTGCGATCACAAAGCACTGCAGCAAAGGGGGAGGCAGCAGTTACCCTTCCATAAGGAGGAGGCAGCAGTTACCCTTCCGTTGAGGCTCCCCCTCCAGATCTCTCAAGGCAGCAGTTTGTACGTGTTTAACACCACAGAGATGCACCTACTTGGGAAGAGTTTATGCCAGTTCCTCAAAGTTTAAAATAAACGTTTTGTCTGTCCTAGTGTGCACCAGATCCATACCCATTAATTAGCTGATATCTGAACTCTGGGTTTAATCTGAGGCCATTTTAAGGCAGAAAACAGGCACAAACTGGCACTTTACAAATCAATCTTTCTGAATGCAGAGAGCACCTTCTGCTTCTGCAGGTGAAACTTCTTAAACCTAGTGTCTTAAGACACTCAGGAAGGCAACTAAATCAGCCAAGCTCTTACTGCTGTATTGGGTCAAATTATTTGTGCAACCTTTACCGGAAAGTGGAAAGTTGTTATTCATATAATTTAAAGAGACAGAAATAAGGAAAGGTACAACCGTGAGACTTTTTTCCCATTCGGCCTCTAGAGGTAGCTGCGCCCTCATGTTGGTGCGATTAGTTCATAGAGCGGCCAAAAAAAATTTATAAAATTAAAATAAAATTAAAAATAAATGTAGTAAGATAATTAAAAATGAGAAAAAAAAAAAAGTAAAATAATGATGTATTAGAATAAAACGCGTTTGATGAGTTTGCGAGTGTCCGGGGTTCCCTCCGCTCCCAGGGCGCTACGGGGAACGCTGCAGACGCTCGAGGGGCACCGGGGGCGGCTCGTGCGGAGGCGGCGGGTCCCTGCGAGGGGCAGGGCGGGCTCGGGGGCCGCCCCGGGCCGCTCGCGGGGCTCGCGGCCGCCCCGCGCACTCACTTTGCCGCTCGCCTCCCCTCACGGCCGCGCAACGGCCGCGCAACGGCCGCCCTGCCCCGCCCGGTGACGTCACGCGGCGGCGGGCCAATGGGGGCGAGCCACGCGCGGGCCGGCGGAAGGGGCGGGCGGCCGCGCTGAGGCGGCGGCGCGCGGCGCTCGGCGGCCGGAGCGGGAGCGGAGCCGCCGCCTCCGCCATGTCCCCCGCGGTGGCGGGCGCGGAGGGCGGGCGGCAGCGGCGCGCCGGCAGCAGCCACCAGCACCACGGGAACTGCGTGGAGGTGCGCGGCGAGGCGGCGCTGCCCTGCCGCGAGGCCGAGGTCGAGGCGCTGCTGCCGGCGGCGGCGGGCGGGCCGCGCGGCTGCCGCGCCGAGCTGGGCAGCATCCTGCTGCTGCTGGCGCTCTACGTGCTGCAGGGCATCCCGCTGGGGCTGGCGGGCAGCGTGCCGCTCATCCTGCAGAGCAAGAACGCCAGCTACACGGAGCAGGCCGCCTTCAGCCTCGTCTTCTGGCCCTTCAGCCTCAAGCTGCTGTGGGCGCCCTTGGTGGACGCCGTGTATGCGCGCCGCTTCGGCCGCCGCAAGTCGTGGCTCGTGCCCACGCAGTACGTGCTGGGGCTCTTCATGCTCGGCCTCTCCACGCGCGTGGACGCGCTGCTGGGCGACGGGCAGGGCCGCGGCCCCGACGTGGCGGCCCTCACGGCCGCCTTCTTCCTCTTCGAGTTCCTGGCGGCCACGCAGGACATCGCCGTGGACGGCTGGGCGCTCACCATGCTGTCCCGCGAGAACGTGGGCTACGCCTCCACGTGCAACTCCGTGGGGCAGACGGCCGGCTACTTCCTGGGCAACGTGCTCTTCCTCGCCCTCGAGTCGCCCGCCTTCTGCAACAAGTACCTGCGCCTGCGGCCGCAGCCGCGCGGCATCGTCACCCTCGCAGGTACCCCCGGGCCCGGCCTGGCCCCGGCGCCAGCCACCTGGCCGCTGCCCTTCAAAACACCAGATCTGCCCCTAAGGAGACCAGTTACCAGCCGCTTCTGCTGGGAGAAAGGCGGAACCCGCGAGATTGAAACCTCCAAGAGAGCGTTATCCCCACAGGAGAAGTGTCAGGAGTTTAGAGTTAGCTCAATCCTGAGCATTATCCCCAGGAGAAGTGTCGGGAGTTCAGTTAGCTCAATCCCGAGCGTTATCCCCACAGGAGAAGTGTCAGGAGTTCAGTTAGCTCAATCCCGCTGCTGCTTCCCAAAAGCAGACCTCGGAAGCAGGCCCTGCTTCCTTAAACTAAGGGGCTGGGGAAGGAGGACACTCTTTGTTTGTGGTCTAAATGGAACCTGATCATCAGGCTCCAGCTTTTCTTTGGGCTTTGTTTGGCTTTCTGTAAAGGTTGTTTGTGGTTGTTGATGGTAGATAGGCTGCCTAGAAGGCACTTCAGTGTGCAAGGTCAAGAGAAACTTAGGGGAGGACTGGAAAACTAGCACCTTTTCTGGCTGAAATGCCAGGGTGGCTGTAGTTAGTAATGAAGTGAATTCTTGTGTTTCTATTTTATTTTCCTCCGTTCATATTTCAGTTACTCTGTGCTTTTTCCATTCTTCTCTCTGTGCTGTTCCAGCTGCTGTGTGCTGCCAGGGAGAGGACACGCCAGAATTGAGTTGTTGGGGCGTGAAACCCGGCGTGCCCCAGCTGCAGGAAGGCAGCGCTGCTCGCACCAGTGCTGCTTCTCTGCAGCCGCGGGCTGACCTTCCCTGCTGCAGTTCACAGAGCCCTGGGGTGTTCACGAGGGCTTGCTCTGCCTTTTTTATCTTAGTGGAAATGTATTTGTTACCGCTGCAAGACCTTTTAAAAAGCACCTCAAACCCACCAATGCAACCTGTTTAACCTGTCCTGGGTGGGGTAGGAAAAGCCAGCAGCTCCGGCACTGCGCTTGCAAGAGATGTGTTTTTTAGGGGTAGCCAAGCTGGCTTTGGACAGCACGGCTGTCCTGTGCCCTTGGCGTGTGCCACGCTTCAGCCTGCCCTGTTTGTGCAGGCTCAGCTGTAGGGCAGCTCTGTAACCACCTGCCTGGGGAGACCCTGTCTTGTCCTAGCCCTCCTTGTCCTCAGGGCTTGGCTTGAGTTGTTTCGGGCAGGTGAAGCAGCAGGGAGCTCACGGTGGGGGAAGGTGAGTGTTTTTTGCCAGCATTGCTCTCTGGACCCTTCCATCTCGGGCTGCGTGCCAGTGCTAGAGAAAGAGGAGGTCCCAACCTCATGGTCCTGACAGCTTAAAGCCCTTGACAAGCAGCAACCTTGCCAACAAGGTTGACAGCCTAACCTTTCCTGTTAACCTTGGGGAAGAACATGGACAAATGTAGCACCCTTACTCCAAATGAATACTGTGTTATGTAATTTCAAGGCGAAGTTCTAGCAAGATAAAAAAGAATTGCAATTCATTGGGCTTGTAGTTTGTGTAAGTATGCTGAGCGGATGAGTTTAATTTTTGTTTATTTATTTAGCTGCTGTTGGGTTGGCTGGACCCTGCCCAGTTTGTCCCACAGCTGCATGAAGGCCGGATCTGAGGTGGGGAGATGGGTGTCTGCAGCCCTGCGAAAAGGGAGCACTGAAATAACCCGTGGGGAAATCAGCCTTGCTCTTGTCTGCGAGCCCGGCCATTCCCCTCGCCTGCTCCAAGGCTAGTGCTGCGCTCTGGCTTGTGTCCTGCCAGCTTCCATGGGAAGCAGCGTTCGCTGGTGGCACCAGAAGCTTTCCTGCTAGAAACTGCTTGTGTGAACTGCAGCGGAAACTTCTTTTGCCAGTAGGTTGTTCTGTACTTGAGTGGAAGAGCTGCTCTTTTGTGTAAGTCGTCTAAAACTAAAAAGACTTTAATTGAGCTCTTCCTACATATGGTCTTAGCAAACAGCCATGACTGTTGTGCTCCCAGGGCTGAACTGATTAGCAATAACCATGTGATGATGCTCCAAGCTGTTTGTGGCGCAATCGTAGCAGCGGTGTGCGATCGCCGCAGTGGCAGTGCTCACGGCTGCTGCTGCAGTGCAGCTCCTGGCAGTGCTGTGTGAGTGTGATTAGCCTGACTCTGCGAAAAGGATGCCTTACCTGTGAAAAACAGGCTCAGGATACTCGACTCCTTCCGAAAAAGAGGAGCGAGCAATCTGATAGCATTGGTTGTGTGGGCTTCTTGCTTTCAAAGTGCTCTGGTGAAGGGAAGAGTGTTTTGGAAGCAGCAGAAAATAGTCTGAAATACCTAGACGACTACTTCAGTAATAATTTAGGATTCTTAATGCGAGGGGGGAAAAAAGTCATCTTCTGTTCTCCATGTTGTGCTGTCCTGTGAACAAAAGCTAATAATTGACTAAACAATCATCTTTGTTCTTCCACCAGCTTTCCTTGCTTACTTTCAGTTGTCTTGAGGCTTCTGAAGTTGCTTCCAACCAAGAAGTTAAAAGGCAACTTTTGTCTTTTCTTTGTCTTTCTTCTTCAAGTGTTTTCTTGCCCCTTTCTAAGAGGTAGGAGTTAGAATTATCTTTAATTCGGTAGTCAACTCAGAAAGTATTTCCCATGAAATATTAGTGTATGTCCTGTTCCTGCTGACTTCTAACCCAATATTTAGAAAATATGTTGTCTACTTAAAAAACAGCACTTGAATTAGCAAAAATCCCCTTTGAAGAGACATACTTCAGCAACTCTTCACTTGGCAATTGTAGGAAACATCATCAGAATTGCTTTACCCTCATGAATATAAATCATTGTTGCCTTTGAATAGTAGATAACTGTTCTGTGCTTCGATTCTACACTCAAAATAGGATTTATGTGACTGCTTAACAAACTGGATAAAGAAGACATTTACATTTGCCACATAAAGTTCTTGTCATGATGTCTTCTAGTTACTAAACTCTTTGTTTTTATCAATATTTGGTGGTTGTGATTTCTCAAAACCTTTATTTTTATTCATTTCCTCTAGATTGTGGTAGTGCCCAGTTCCCCAACATTTTGCACAAAAACTAGTGTTTATCTTGTGTGCAAGATCTTACACAACCGCGTGGGGCTGGGAAAAGCTGTCTCCGTTACAGCTCGTTGCTCTGTGTGTGCACGTTCTGCTTTTATCTGTGTTCAGGAAGGTCAATGAGTAACGTTTTATTACTTTAATTTTGATTGCTAGGCTATGAACTTATATTATTGCACAATAAGTGCTTTTCAGTAACCTGTTAATGTTGATTGTTAATTTTTTTTTTCTTTCAGATTTCCTGTTCTTCTGGGGAGCTGTGTTTCTAGTGACCACCACACTGGTTGCCCTTTTGAAAAAGGAAAACAAAGAATTAACTCCAACAAAAGAGGAGACAAAAGGGATCACTGATACTTACAGACTGCTCTTCTCAATAATCAAGATGCCAGCAGTTCTCACCTTCTGTCTCTTGATTCTCACAGCAAAGGTAAGTAAAGACACTTAACAAGTTGTTGTTAGTGATGATGACAGGGGAGTTTGAAAGGGAGCCCTTGTGATACCACTTTGTCAGTGGTTGTCATTAAACTTCCAGGCTTTTTCATGGAATTTGGAAGCATAAATAGCTTGTGTCATTGAGCTAGGTATAGTGTTACAGTAGAAAATGCTGAGGTTCTTTATGGTAAACATATTGAAGAAGCTGATAGCAACCTGATATTAAAATAACGTATGTTAACCGTGCCTCTACATCCAGGCTGTTTGCGTAGCCTGCAGTTAAGAAGACACAAAGTTTTTCTCTTCACCTAAATTCTGCTCACGGAATCTGCAACTCTGCAAACTAGGTTTCCGTGGTTTCAAGTTGGCAGTCCTGGATACCAAGGGGTGTTTAAGGCATAGATACAAATAGCACTGCTGTGTTTGATGTTTTTGGTTTATTTCTGGCACTGGTAGTAAAAATATTGTGTAAATGCTGAACATGCTTCAGGACTGATCTGGAAATGTTTCAATCATTATTTCTCCATGTTGTTGATATCAAGTAAGAGGAATTGCTAGCCAGACCATCACTGCTTTCCTCAGTTTTCATTTAACTTATTTTGCAGGTTGGATTTTCAGCAGCAGATGCCGTAACAGGACTCAAATTAGTGGAAGAGGGAGTACCTAAAGAGCACTTAGCTCTGCTGGCAGTTCCAATGGTTCCTTTACAGATCATATTGCCTCTGATTATCAGCAAATACACAGCAGGCCCCCAGCCACTGAACACATTTTACAAAGCTATGCCTTTTAGGTAAAACGAACTTTATTCTGTAAAAATATCTTTGTATCTTGTTTATTTGGATTAAGTATAAGATTTCTTTTGTAGACTCCTCTTTCAGGTGTGTGTGTGTGTGTGTGAGAATATCCATGATAAGTTTTATGTCTTAAGCCTGGAGGATGATTCTTGTGGAAATGCATGGAAAAAAGCAGAATGCTCAGTGCTTGCAGATAGGTATATGGCAGCATTAGCTCTGTGCTCTTCTGTTCTCATTAAATGTTGCTGTTTCTTTATTCCTGACTGTTCTACTTAGAATTGGGTGTGTACCTGTAGTCTTCAATGCATTCCCAGGGTAAGAGTGGCAGCTCATGCTGATGAATCATTTGCCAAGTCTTACAGGATGTTGCTTTATTCAGATATTTGAGAACAGAAGAAGCAGAATCAGGGCACTGCAGACACAGAGACGTTCCATTTATGATACTAATTGTTTGATAAAAGAGTTTGACTATATAGGAATTTGCCTATGAAATTCTAGAAGAATTTAAACCCAACTAATTCAGAAAACATTGATTTACTAAAAAATAGCATTATCTCTTAAACTTAACCACTTTGTTCTTCTGCAGTAACCTATATATTTTTTTTCCTAACAAAGCTCAGTAGATTTTATTCCAGATGTATTCTGTTAGGTATTTTCTGTGCTGTTTTTTACCAAAAGACTTTGGAAAATTCACTATTAAAGGACAGAGGAAGAGGCTGGTATAGGAGAGCTGGCAGAATTGTGTTGCTACTGAGGACAGAATAGTTTCAGCATAAAATAGCTTAAAATAGAAATACATTATATCTAAATGGTTAAAACAAATATTTGACAAGCACTGAAATCAAACATTTTAATGTGTTGTCTCTGTACAAATGTTCAATAGCTGCTGTATAACAAAAGCACATGGATAACATTACTTGAATTGCCCATCCATCTTATTCTTGCAGGTTGCTGCTTGGACTGGAATTTGCCTTTTTGGTTTGGTGGACTCCTAAAGTAAAACACGAAGGAGGATTTCCTATATACTACTATATTGTAGTATTGTTGAGTTATGCTTTACATCAGGTAATGTATACTGCATTATAGAGGGCAAGGGGGGCAGGAGGGTCTTTCATATCAACCAAGTTGGGGGCAGCAAGTGCTGTTAAATGCTTTTGTTAGTTACAGTGGGAGTCTTTTAAGTCTCATCTGCTGGGCTCTGCTTCTCCTCATTTACTTTTGATCCTCTTCTCAGTGTAACTGCTCCCACCTCATTGTTCTCCACAGGGATGACATCAGTGAAGTTATTCTTAGTTGACCAGATTTGCTTTTGTTTCTTGGATTGTTCCCAACGCCATAGGTCAGAAAGCATGATTGCAGTGGAGTCAGAGAAATCGTGCTGTTTTGACTTGAGTTTCACCAGTATGATGATCGTGATCAGAGCTCATGCTGTGGATGGTGCAGCTCCCTACAGTTATGTCATCCTGATCCTAGAAAAAATGACTCCCCCTGCCCCAGAATATCCTAGTAGATCTGACTTGAAGGTCTAGAGAGCAGAGCCCAAAGCAGGCTTTGGACTAGTACAAAAATATTATAAAATGTCTTGAAAGGTTGTATGGGTTTTGTTTGTATGTGTATCTATGTGTGTGTGCGTGTGTGGAAGTGTTACCTTTACATAGGCATCTTCACCTGGCCTTACTGTAATTTAATCTGATAGATTGTCTGTTAGCACCTGGGGCCGAGTCCCTTTTGGTATGAGCTGAAACAAGAACAAGGCTTCTTGGTCTTATGCAGCGAGATGGACCATAAAAGTGATTATTTTGCGATTTTAAACTGAGGCTGTTTTTCAGTTAACTCTGCTAACTACAGGTAACCTTGTAAGAGTTTTTGCTAGGAGTTTTCGTTGTTGGTGACTGGGGATCTTACCCTCGAGCCCTTTCTCCTCCTGCACAGATCACCCTGTACAGCATGTACGTGGCCATAATGGCCTTCAACGCCAAGGTGAGCGACCCGCTCATCGGAGGGACCTACATGACGCTGCTCAACACCGTGTCCAACCTGGGCGGCAACTGGCCCTCCACGGTGGCGCTCTGGCTGGTGGACCCGCTCACGGTGAAGGAGTGCGCGGGCGCCCCGGCGCAGACCTGCGCCTCCGCCGCCGCCGCCGACGTGAGTCCCGCGCCCGCGCGCCCTGCAGCCGCTTCCACGTGCGGGGCCTTCTCCTCCTGGTGCTCCAAAAATCCTCGTGGGGCATAAGCCAGGGTTTGAAAAATCCCTCTAATGGAGCTAATTTTTCTGTCTGATACAATGTTTTCTCTGCCTTTCTTTAATAGCTAACACTTAACACAGATCTGTAGTGTGTGGTGTGCACTGCCTCCTCTTCCCACCCATTTCTACCTCCTCCTGAGGTGGAAAGGCAGTGAGGAGCTCGTGCCACGTTCCCTGGGGTACACGGAGGCCATGGTTAAGCTTCCCAGTTCAGCCTTGCTCTCCTGGGATGTGCTTAGGTGCTCTGTTCTTGGCAGGTCAGTCCCCAGAGTGCCTAGGCCATGGGGTGGGTTTGTTTCCATGATTTGAGGTTTTCCGTTTGCTTTTAGTCCTCCCGACGTCCTGGGAGGCTTCCTCTCTTGGTGCCTTGCACTCTTCCCTTTGGCGGTTCTTTGCTTTCTGTGGTGTGGAGCGGAGCAGAGCGGTGGGACGGGCTGCGCTCCCAGCCCTGGGAGCCAGTGGAGCAGAGCAGGACGTGCCACGCGGCTCGCGGGACGCGCCTGCCTCCGAGCAAGGTTCCGGATTGGCGCCTCTGCTGGAAACTGTAACGTCTGCGAGGCTGGAAATGCTCATTCCTCGCTCGTGGCTGAGCCTTGGCTCTGCAGTGCCTTTGTGTGTCCACAGGGGCGTTTGGGATGTGCGGATCTTCCAAACACACAAAGTGCTCGAGGAGTCAAATGGGGCTTGTTTGAAGTGGTGCTGCAGCTCCCTGCTTGCAGAAGGGAAACTGCCTCCCTCTGCTGTGCTGCTTCCGTGTGTTTTATGTCACCCAGGGGTTCCCAAGCCCGGGGCCCTGGCTCTGTCCGGCTGCGGTGCCCCCTGCTCTGCTCTCTCCTCGCGTCCTTGCAGTTTGCAGTGTTATGAACACCCCCCTCGCCCTTCCTCTGATGCTGGCATGTTTGAAGAGGAGGATGCTGGCGGGGCCTCCGCTGCAAGGCTTGCTCTTGTCTTGAGAGCGTGCAGCTGTGGACTGCAAGCTGAGCACGGGCAGGAAGACTTGTGCACTGCTCGTGTCTGTAGCTGCCCGAGGGCTGCAGCAAAATCAAAGAGCACCCCGGGTGTGTTTTTGTCCGTGAGCTACCCTGAGGGCCGCTGGGCCTTGTACTCACACCCATTTGCAGGCTCAGTGTGACTGCCATGGAGCGCTTGGGTGACTAGAAACAAGTCCCTCCTCGTGGGCCTACGTGGTGGCGCCTGCAGCAGCTCTGCAGCCGAGGACGGTTGGACCAGTTTCTCTTTCTTGGGGCTGGTCCCTTGGGCCAACAAGCTCCTCTGCCCAAATGACCTGCAGTATTTGTTGCTTTACTTGCTAATGGGAGCTTGAAGGTTCTTACTAACTCTGCAAGACACAGACTAATCAAATAGCTCTGGGTAAACTGTTTAAAGCTCGGGTTAGGAAGAGTGAAGATTCTAGTGCCTTCTAGAAAGTGTGTGTTTCTGTGTCTCCCCAAAAAAGCTTGGGATCGAGGCCCTAACAAAGCCCTGTGTGTTGCAGCTCTGCACTAAAGCCGGCGGCTCCTGCGTCACCACCCTGGACGGTTACTACGTGGAGTCTGTCATCTGCGTCATCCTGGGCTTCGGCTGGTGGTTCCTGCTTGGGCCCAAATTCAAGAAGCTGCAGGACGAAGGACAGTCTTCGTGGAAGTGCAGGAGGACCAACTGATGCTCCTGAGAGATGCCCCTTAAATACTGGATGGACCAGCAACGTCACTTTAGTTTTACTACAAAGACATATCTCATAATCAATAAACAGGAACAAAGGTATTTTAAATGCCAAATCGCTCAGAAATGGTACGTGTACCGCTCGCCTTCCCAGTGTGGAAACGGGAATGCCGAAGGTGACCGCGGCAAAGCGGCGCCTGCGAGGCCTGCGCCAGCCTCCGAGCACGGCTGCTGCCAGCACCCGATTTCCATATAGCAGCTATGGAGGGCTCACTGTGCCACGAGTATCGCAGCAGCAGCAGCGTTGCCGGCTAAGATCCAGCTCTTAATTGTCCAAGAGAAGTGGCCTGGCACAGCAAGCTGGCGTGGGGAAGGATGTCCGAGGCGTTTTGACTCGTGGGTTAAGCGTGTTATGATACAGGATTCATCGTGGGAAGATAAAATAGCTGTGGCTTTTTTTTTTTTTTTAATTCCCCTTCTCACTTATGGACTGTAAACACACTTCAGAGGATGAAATAATGTTTCAGGATTCTTTTAAATGTATTTTCTGGCTTTTATAAGCTTTAAAGATTTATAAGAAAATATTTTTATAAATGAAATTACACTTAATTTATTTCCTCTGTTTCAACGCATCTTGATTTACCTTCAGGAGAACCTGAAGAGAAAGTGCTGTAGGGTAGGACTTAAATTAAGAGTAACGCACAGTGCCCTAGGCCTTGAGTGCTGCGCGGGCCGCTCGTTTGCAGGGCCCCCAGCAGCGCTGCTCGTTCCCGGTTGTCCCGTTGGCACCGCGTGCAGGAGGAGGGGCAGCCGCTGTTCCTGGGGCCGGTGGCGCTGGGAAGGGCGCAGGGGTGCCTGGCTGCGGGGCTGGAGCGCGGAGCGGCCGCCGGAACCCGGCCGTGGCGCCCCAGGGAAGCAGAGCGTGCCGCCCTCAGCCCCCTGCAGCGTTCGGTGCGTCGCTCTTTACAATTAAAACGCAAAGGTGGAAGGAACCTTCGGCTCTTTCTTTCCTCGACCATATTGAAAGTATTGAGTGCGTGTGTTCCCAGCTGTGCGGGGCGCCTGCTGCTCTGTCCTTACTGGGTGCTTTAGGGGAGGCGGAAAGGGGTGGCAACGCGTCCCCAGTGTCCCCAGCGGGAAGGGAAGCAGCCCGGGAGGAGCCGCGGGGCCGGTACCCGGTGCCTTCCCGGCCCCTCTCGCTGCCGGCCCCGGCAGCAGCCCGAGCGGCGGCTCTTCCCCGGCTGTGACCCGCGGAGCAGGGCCGCGGCATGGGGCTTGTTCCCCTGTTGATGGGGATCAGAGCTCCCTGCAAGCACAATTCCCACCTTGCGCAGTTTTGCTCCCTCCCGTACGCATCATCTTCCAGCTTATTATTTCTGCCCTCTGGATAAAAGCACAGAAAGAGTTTGTCAAACCTGTACTCAAACATAGGTATCTATTTACAGCCAGGGCCAGATCATCACTACTGCATTACTTATCTATGTATACGTATACATTACACTTAATAAAATAAGTGGCAAATGGTTACAACAATAGACGGTTGTCCACACTTGCCTCTTTTTTTTTTTTTTTTTTTTTTAAACCTCAAGGAAAACAAGGAAAACTTACAGACTGCAGAATATGGAAAATTAAATTCAGAGATGTTTTACAGTTGGCTTTTGTGTTACAGTTTGGTTATTGTTTCTGGATGTGTCAGTGTGACTTATTAATAAAAGAGATGCCTTTGGATTTGCTGGATGGATGATTTGGCAGTATCAAAATTAAATCCAAAATTGTAAATTGTGTAACTGTTTGTTTCCTCTCTCAAGCTGGACAAGCCTGGCTCCCAGTCTGCCGCTCTTCACAGCGCAGGTCGGAAAGGCTGCGCCTGCCGCAGCAGCTTCTTCCTCCCCTCCCACTTGCCTGAGTTTCATTTTGGATTTTCCCCGAGCGAAAGGTTTCCCTTTCTGCAGGGCTGGGGTGGTTTTAGCCTTGCCACAGCCCTGGGCCAGGGTGGGAAGGGCGCTGGGAGGCAATTCCCTGGCAGGGCCCTTAGGTCGTGATTTATGGGCACCAGTCCTGGCCTCCGTCCTTAGCCCTGGCTTTAAAGCACAAACCCTTTTGTCTTCATTACCAGCCCCAAAATATTTGTCGGTGTTTTGTTTTCCTCCCTTCCTCTGAGAATTTGTGCTTCGAGGCCAAGAGAAGAGCTGCGTAAGCGCAGATCCCGTCCCGCATTCCCACCCAGCTTGTGTCCCGGTCCCTGTTCCCGCCGAGCCCTGCCCAGGATCAGGGTGCTTCCTGCAGGAATGGGAGGAAAGAGCGGGGAAGAGGGGACGGAGCCCGAGTGCGGGTTTATTTTTTCCCTTTTTTTATTATTATTGTTTTATACTCTTGTTACCTTGAACTCCACTAGAGGCCGCCCCTGGGGCGCGCGGGGCGGTTCGGGCGGTCCCGGGGCGGTCCCGGGGCGGTGCCGGCGGGTTCGGGCGGTGCCGGCGGTTCGGGCGGCCCCGGGGCGGTCCCGGGGCGG